CACCCCCCCCAGCAAGTGTAGCCCCTCATTTCATACCTGTTAGGACACCCAAGCGTTCGAGAAAAGCGACAGCGTTAATCAAAATAAGGAACACCGCAGGCATTCCAAGTGCACGCGCCTCCGCGTCTGGTCTGGTCTAACGTTGAGCGAAAAAAAAAATAATAATAAGAGATGTAACATTTCGAACGGTTAGGGTACTTCATTTTGACGCGGGTTCGTGGGTTTGCCGTTACAACAGCCAATCGTAATCTTGGTGTCGTATCGACTGAATCGCAGGGGCCACGCCTACGGAATGGTACGATTGGCGGAATAACAGCGTTGAACAACTGGGTGAATGGTAGCCTAACCAACCCGTATCTTTGTACTTGAATGGATTGAACAGTGGTGGGGTGTTGGAGAAACTGTCCGATGGGGGATAGAATGACCCAGGGCGGGATCATCACCACGAGCCCGACTGGAGTCGTTTATTCGCTTCGGGACAACCAACCTCGGAGCATCGTATTTTCACCATTTATTTTTCACATTGCGGTTGTGATTGTTGTGTCCACCTGTCGGCCAATCGTGATGAGAATAATTTCAGCTGTAATCAGTCATTAATTGGTCATTGTTGATTTCGTGCGGCGCATGGGGGACTGATTGGCACTTCGGTTGGGATTTTTTTTTTTTAGTTTTTCGTTGAGTTTGAGACAGTGACAGTGGAATTAAACAGTTGTGTGCGTGAAGTGACTTGTTTTTTGCATTTACATTCTGGAGTTTGACGGCCACATGACGTCGATTCAGTGAAATTCGTGATTGTCGTTGATTATTTTGGGGGGAATAGCGGATTAGGGGAACTGTTGGGTAACGGCTGTAAAATTGAGCTGGATTTTCAACGCGCCGCCGGCAACTTTATGAGGTAATTACGGTACTCTTGTTATTTGAATATTTCCAATGGACATTTGCGCTCAACGGAATTCTCGGGGGAGTTGTAAAAACCTCGAGGGTTTTATTGAATGCTACACTAGCCAGGTATAGCTGTCATAAATTTTTTAAAACGCCTGGGTGTCATAAACCGAAGTCCTGTCAATAAAAAAAACTCGTCGAACATCTCGCTGTCAAAATGTCCCCTCGGCCCCTCAGTTTTCGCGGGAAAAAACGCACCCGTCGTCATCACATCGTAGAAATCAAACAATACACAAACATCCTGTCACCCCGAGCCCGACCCCGTAATTTTCTCTCCCATTCCCACCTCCAAACACCACCTAATCACGACCAGAAGTATCCAAAACACTTCCCCAACGCGCGAAAAAAAAATCCCACACCGCCGACAATTTATTTCCCCCGCAGATGTGATATTCTCCCCAATGTGACGTCTGTTATAGAGTCGTCGACGAAAAATCCGTCGGTTGCAAAGCGGATGGCATTGTGGGGCCTCGAGACGCCATAAAAGGATCCTTTCATGAAAACTAGGGGCTGCACAATACAAATCGAAGGGAAGAAGAGACTCGGGAAAATATATCAAAAAGTGTAATAAATCGTTTTGAGTTTGTACTTCATCCCCTAACGTCTCATAACACACGCTCTAAACATTCAATTAGCGCTTCCTAATCTCAGCCCTTGTCAACAGCCATTACTTCCAGCATCTTTCGCGCCACGGGCTCTTGTCTGTACTCGTTTTACCCCCCGGAGTCCCCCTCCCGTGCCGCGCCCTGAATGGGCGCCTCTCGGGACCTTCCAGCGGTGACGGTCACCGCGAAGGGCTCAGGGGTCCTCCCCCATTGAACCTCGTCACCCCTCTCGTGACCTACGTATCTATTAATCCCCGCTGAATGACACTCGAGAGCTTTCGGGGGGTGGGGCACCTCACATTGCGCTTCTAACCCTAAATAAAGAATGATTTCTCGTAACGCCCGCCTCGGGGTGAAAAGCTCTCTCTCCTTGGGTCGACGATGAAAAACCGCATCAAGAGGCGCTTTTTTTTAATGAATACTCAAGGAGAACGGTGACGTAATTGTATTAGTTCAAGGGTCTCGAGTACCTCCGGGCCATATGCACTGGAGGGTGACATTTAGGGTGAATATCTCGAGATCATTCCCACCCTCGTGGTTTCAACAAAATAAGCATTCAATCTTTTCGTTCTCGGGGGTTTTTTTAGGTTTAATTAAATTTTGAATTTTAATTGGGGTGGAAATGTTTGCTGTTTTTGTTTTGTTATTTTAGTTGTGGATTTGAGGGTTAATTGGAGAGTTTTTTGATAATGGTTTTGCAGAGCCGGCGGAAATATGTGCGACGGTGGTGCATTCCAGGAATCACTACGGGGCATGCAGTGCTTGACTGTTGCATCACCACCGAGCAGCGTTGACGTGGGCCCGATGGCTGTTGCACTTGCTACTCCACTTCAGTCGGCGAAAAAACCGCCCAGTGAACACATTAAGAGGCCTATGAATGCTTTTATGGTGTGGTCACGACTTCAGCGGAGGAAAATAGCGCAGGATAATCCTAAGATGCATAACAGTGAGATATCGAAACGACTGGGTGAGTTATGCGTAAATAATATGAGGAAATGATTTATTTAGGCTCGACGTTTTTACGAAACTATCCGTTTGGTCAACATTTCGTCTCGCTTTTTTCTCAGCTGTCGATGAACAGTTAAACCGTTTGTGTTTTGATGAGAAATGTCATTAGAACGAGACTGATGAGTCCTAAATTTTTTTTAAGTTTTCAAATTACAATTCAGTTGCAAAATTCCAAAGTGAAATTATTTAAATTATTCAATTCAACTTCGTTTAATTTAAATGAATTATTAGAATAATTTCAATAAATATTCTTCGTTAAATTGATAAATTATTTTCGTTTTTTTATCATTGACCGAAAGAACAATTGATTTTTCAAAATACAATAATACCCTAAATTTTTAGAGAAAACAAAATTTCCAACAGATGAATAATCCATAATAATAATTTTTTTCATGAGCAAAAAAATGTTGAGAAGAATGCTAAAATTTTGAAAAATGTCTTTAAAACAAAACGGATAATTATTTTTTATTCAAAAAATTAAATTGAAATGTCAAGTGCGTTTCGGAACCCGTTGGGACTGCCTCAAATTAAATCGTCCGCTGCGCGGCGTTGTCGAGAGCTCGCTGAACGCGCCCGACAGTGTAGAGTGGATCCGGCAACGCTGGCGTCTAAATAACGCCGCGGCAGGTCCTCCCAAGCTGACCGCGGCGCAAAGTCACGTGCGTTGACCGCCTAGAGTTAACTGCCTGCACCAAAAAAATCAGTTCGACATAAACAAATTGTCCTCTCACTTTACCGCCGCTCCACCTCCCGATAAATACAGAGACGAAATAAAAAGAAATTCTCGAATAATAAAAGAGATTGCAACCCTTATAATGCGTGTGATTTTCAATAGATAAATCGGCCGAATGACGACGCACAATATACTCTGTATAGGATTACTCGTTATACTGCGGGGTTATAATACAAATACAAACGATAGCGGATACACGTCTCTTGTACATTATAAAGAGCAAAAACCCTATTGCACGGCAAATTATTCAGTAGACTTGCGCCAAACGATAAAGAGAGATGAAAATAAAAAAGAAGCGGCTTTTAGTCCAGATCCTCAATCGCGGTATAATACACATTTACAATGCGGTACTCAGGGCAACCCACCCGACAGTAGCTCCCTTATTCCGTCTCGTTAGTCGCACCAAAGACGAGGAAGAGGGCGACATTTCCTGCATACGCGGCCACCTCTCTCTCTCACTTACACTCGTTATATGCGTTTTGTGGGCATGTACATAATATACGGATACATGGGGTGAACCTGTGTGCTGAGAATCCATCGGGCGTGACGAAACGAGCCACCCAAAATCCTCAAGTTGAAGGGAAAGGGAGAAAAAAAAATTGTTGGAATACGCGGCTGAACGAAAGGCATTTCGCTTTGGCATTTCCATCAAATACCCGGAAATCCACAAAGATTTTACCCGCGGCGTCTCGCCTCTTCCTATGAAGGAAAAACCGGAGGAGGGATGCCCGGGGTATTTTCAACCCCATTCTATCCCAGAGGAGTCTGATGTTGTGTGCAACGTACCCTCTTTTCATCCCACAGCACTGCATTTCTTTCGCTCTCGCTCTCTCTCTCTCAGTCTCACTCGAGAAATCTCTCACAATAATTTCTCTCACTCTCATCGCTAATCCCCCTCTTTTCCCTCTTTTTCGATTCAACCGCCCATCTCCGCCTCCTTCGTCTATCTCGTCCTTGACGACAACGAATGAGGCGCAAGTGGCGTACATAACGCAGCGCTTGCGCATGCTAGGTGAAATTCAACCTCCCTCTTATGGTCGCGTATACCTCCCGCGGGGGTGCACCTACCTCAAACCCTTATGGCTTTTATTCGGTGGGTATTTGTCCCGTGTGTACCACACACCACTTTAGCATCAAGTATTACTGCCTTTTGGGTTTTTTATTAATTCCCCGGGTACTTGACTTTATCAATTTCAATCAGGGGTAATGGGATGATGGGGCTGGGGGGTGGGGGGCATTGGTGGAGTGGAGGAGGTGAGGATTGTTCTTCGGTTATCGTAGGGGGGAGGGGGGGAACATTGTTTTTCGAGTGCAGGTGCAAACTTTTCACTCGGTGACTTTCATTTTTGAAATTTTAAGTTGGGATTTCAAATCTGAGAGAGATTACCTCGAGAATTTAATAACTGTGAAGCGCATTCGATTATTTTTAAAATTATCAATGAAATTCTCATGGAAATTGCAATTTTTCAGGTCAATTTACGATATTTTTTGGGAAATTTTACACTAAAATATGATAATTCGGGGAAATTGACGAGAAATTTCACGTGTTTTTTTTTCTCGGGTAAATTCTTCAGCTTAAATTTTGAAATAATTAAAAAGTAAATGGAGGAAGAGTTGCTTGTAATTTATGATGACGAGGGAGAAAAAATTATTCGCTTTGCTCTTGACTTTTTGGAGGTGAAGGTGAAAATTTTTTACTCGACATTTCTATTTGGGATTTCAATTCTGAGGAGAATGACCCCTAGAATTTAATAAATTTGCAGCGCATTTCGTCATTTTTAAGAATTATTAACGCAATCCTAGTGAAAATTGCATTTTTTAAAGTCAATTTACACTATTTTTGAAAAATAAACTTTTCATTCGACGAAATTCATTTTTTTCAATTCCAATTGTGGTAAAATTATCTCTGGAAATTCAGTAATTTTGCAGCGTATTCGTTCATTTTCAAGAATTATTAACAAAACTAATGAGCATTGCAATATTTTAGGTCAATTAAAATTTTTTTGTGCAATTTTCTCTAAATTATTGTCATTTTCACTAGAGTTCAATTCCCTCGATAATTATAAGACCTCCATCTTCTGAAATCTTCACACTATACTGAAATATATACTCCAATCTCGAAATTTCACAGACATTTTTCCAAAAATACAAATGATTCTCTGAAATTCCTAAAAAGTTTCACCTGTAAATTTTTTCCTCACGAGATGTTTTCATCCGAAAACGTTTTCTTGACACAATGACTCCCTAGAATTGCCAAAAACATCAAAACCAATTTTTTACACAGATTTTTTCCTTTGTAAATGTTTTCTCGCTATTATTCACAATCCGAACAAAATAAACAAGCACTCGGAGAGGATTACAGGGGTGGGTTTAACTACTGCCTAAGGATTACACCCGACATGGGGAGGCTATTGTTGCGGCACCAGTAATTGATTAGACACTCTCGTGGACGATTGAATTTCACGGCTCATTGTCTTCTTTCATAATACCACTGAATCAATTCCACAACGCATTGATCAAATATTAAGAATTAATTCAGCTCGGTGATTCCTGGGTTTTACATTACACTCTCGAAAATGTGGGAACTCTCAGCTCATAAAGAGCGCGCAACACAGGTATTACAGAGAAAAGAAAATCTGAAACATTCTGCGAAGAGTGTCACACGGAGGAAAAAAGAATGAGAAAAAACGGGAACCGTATAATATTCATGGTTCTTGGCCGGTGAGGGTATGAGAGAGGAAGAGAGAGAGAGAGAGAGAGAGAGAGAGAGAGAGAGAGAGAGAGAGAGAGAGAGAGAGAGCGGGATCTGGGAAACGAGAATAAGGATATACCCCCGGACAACAGGAACCTGCGACTCCTCGTCCATTGAATCGCGCTGAGGACAATGTAGTACGCGCCTTTGTCACACGGACACAAAACACCCCACTATGGTTCTCTTGCACGCGCATACTTTCTCTTATGCGGGATTAAAAATGATCGTTTCCAATGTATATGTTTCGCATATACCTTTTCAGTGTTGAAAAATAAAAAGCGTGTTGTACATGGAGAGTTAAAGGGGGTGAAAATCTCTTGTGTTTGGGGGATCGAGGCTGTTTCTTAGGCGATATTTTGAGGCGGTGATCAGGGAATTATTGTTCATGGAATTCTATACTTGTTTTGGAAAAAAATTTCGAGGGAAAAGTGGCATTCCGAATTTTTTGGAGAGAATTGGAGAGTTCAATTGAATGTTCTGTTGAAAGATTAATATTTTGCACCAAATTGTGCTGAATGTTGAATTAATGTGAACAGTCATGAGTGTTTTTCCATGAGTTTGACTGAATTTTATTATGTCCATTGATTTTTTTATTAAATTGTGAGTTGTCAATAATGGAATTCATTGGAATTCCAAAATCACTGTCACTTAAGGACAAATCAATCATGAATTTTAAATTTTACTGAAAATTCGAGGGAATTCTACATTTTTGAGCAGCAGGGAGACGAGAATTCCACAACTTGAATTCTCAATTAAACATAGTATTTTCAGCACCAAATTACCGTTCATTTTCATGAACTGACATTACAAAAATTTATTCACTTGAATTTTCCTGATTTCTATTAATATTCCTGGAATAATCGCACCAAATAATAACAATTGCGCTAATGAACCAAAAATTTAATTGAATACATAAAAAAAGAGCAAAAAACACCGAAGAAAAATCAATAACATTAAAATTTTGAAACAATCATTTAAGAAAAGTTTCCTAAGGAAAAATATTCAGATTCCTCAACTTGAGTTTCCAATCAAAACATAAATATTTACTCCCAAATGCCCTTAATTCTCATAAAATAACATTTCAAAAATTTATTCCCTTGAATTTTCCTCACTTCCATTAATTTCCATCGAAGAATTGCCCTAAAATTGATAATTTCCACTAATTGTTCCCTCAAACAGTCAATTTTCAATCAACAACATTCTACCATATTTCAAAATTCCTCCGACTTACCTGCAGTAGAATTCCCCAAAAACTGAATCCCTAAAAAACCCCCAAAACAAGGAAAAATCCCCCCACTAAAACCTCGCACCCCTAAATTAAAAAATACCCCCGATAAAATATTCACCGACTGCACCACTTCCACCTCCCGCCCCCTCCTCTTCCCGAAAACTATTTCAAATTAGATTACTTCAGCTCAGAAGGACACCCAAATCACCCCGCGAATGTCCTCCATAAAACCTCCCGACATCTCCAGCCCCCCAAGAAGAATGACGCAACTCGCACAATACCACCTTTTCGAAATCACCGCCGAGACTCCCCATCCCCATCGCCGTTTCAGCCCTCCATTGTGTTAAAAAATTTGACGCCGGTTCAAATTGGATTACAGATTCGTTATGTGATACAGAGAAGAATAGCGAAGGGGTTGCCCCAAGCGCGCGAGAGAGAGAAAAAATAATAAAAACTAGAGAGAGAGAAACCGCTAACTCGAGAGGTGGAGAATAAATCTTAGTACTTTGGATAGCACTCTAATGTGCGGACACAATAATAAAAGCCAAACACGGGGGACGCCGTGAGTGGCTGCGCTGCGAGAACGGGAGGGCGAGAGAACCCTTCCCCCCCCCCTATACATAAACGTTAATAGCAGTGTGTGTATTGCAATGTGCTTAGACTATGTGGCCTCAACCAACATTGGTCCGTGCACGTTGGCCCTGCGAAATGCTGCTGGCAGGCATTCGTCGGGGCGCCACTGCACTCCTTTCCTCGACTCCCCCCCCCCCGTCCATTAATTAACAGGCTTTGTACTTTTAAACGATGTTAAATAAACGGCATTGTTCACCAGCGAAAGGACGGAAAGGCAGGCGCTATTGTGGGCCCTCGGAAGCACTCGGTCCTTCTCCCGGTGGCTTGAGGAGAGGAAAATTTTCAAGTGAGGGACAAGGAGAGATTGACGCACGTTTTGCGCGGGAGAATGGAGTGGGGGCGGGAGAGAGTCAACGCGGGGTATTGCTTTTACTTGAGAACCAACTGTACGTACCTAATACCGTCGGAGCCAAGGCTCGGGGTATTGTTCTAAACAAATACATAACCCTCCCGTCAATGCGCGAACCCCTCTCCCGCCGACGGCATAACAAAAACTTTTTTGTGGGAGTATTGATTGGATAAGCCGTAATGACTGCTTCAATGTTCGCAATCAATGGTGGAGTGAGATTCAGTCGTATTTTGGGGAATTGAGGGAATACAAATTTGGAACAAACTTGTTTGTCTGGATTTGTTTTGTTGGGGACAATTGTTTTGTTGGGAGGGGCAACATAATCGGTGGGGGATTTATTTGCGTCGGAGGTATGGAAATTGCTCGATGGTTGAGGAAATTACGTCGCGGTGTCGTAAGTGATGGCGAGGATTCACTTTGGGGAGATCGGCTCGCTTCAGAGGCATGTATTTATTTTGGGGACTGTCTGAGTGGCAAAGAGTTGGTTGATTGAGTGAAGTTTTGGGAAATTTTTAGCATTTTTTGGGATCATGGAAATTTCGAGGCGTTTCGTGAGGGGCAATTCAGAATCGCAGGGGGAAATCGATGAGAACTGGAAATTTCAGTTCAGCTATTCCCTGAAAATTGGTAGAAGTAAAAATAATTGTAAATATATTCTTGTTTTTTCAACTAATTTTCTTCTCAACCTTTTTAAATTTCTATTGAAAATTCAAATAGTTTCAGAAATTGTCATCTCAATGCTGTTAAAAATTCTGGAATTTCGCTGAATTTCCAGCGAAATCTGAAATCTGAAATTTTATGAGTTTGAGAACTGGAAATTTTAGTTCATTTATTCTCTGAAAATTGGTAGAAGTAACAAAAATCGTAAATATATTCTTGTTTTTTCAACTAATTTTTTTCTCAACCTCTTAAAATTTCTATTGAAAATTGAAATAGGTTCAGAAATTGTCATCTCAATGCCGTTAAAAATTCTGGAATTTCGCTGAATTTCCAGCGAAATCTGAAATCTGAAATTTATGATTCTGAGAACTGGAAATTTTAGTTCATTTATTCTCTGAAAATTGGTAGAAGTAAAAAAAATCGTAAATATATTCTTGTTTTTTCAACTAATTTTTTTCTCAACCTCTTGAAATTTATATTGAAAATTGAAATAGGTTCAGAAATTGTCATCTCAATGCCGTTAAAAATTTTGCAATTTGCACCTTAAATGGCATTCACTGTCACTCTCCTGATAATTACTAATCCATGAACCTCCAAACTCTGATAAAATTTATCTCGTCGAAAATTTCCAAAAATTGACCCGGAAATTTCAGCCCAAAAATTTTAACTGTCTCGTTTTTCATGAATGAAATGCAAAATGCAATGCCCTGAATTTTCCTCATTTATATTAATTCTCGTGAAATAATCAAACTGAAATCTATAGTTTCATTGATTTTCCCGTTAATAATTTATAAATTTCCGCTGATGAAATTTCGAACCTTCTAAACCCATCGTGACAGGTGTAATTCAAGCGCATGTATAGAAGCTTAATTACAGCTACTTGTTATTGTTTGAAAGGAGAACTGCTTTGTCGTGCTGTTGAAAAAACATTTTGATAAGTTACTTTCCTTCACGATTTTGTTGTGGCTGCGTTAGTTCTTGTTTTTTTTAACAGCTGAATGGTGAATCAAATTGATTAAGCAAGCATGATAACTCCCTCTTCGTACCCGTGATTTCATGATTATGTTGGATGATGTGGCACAATTACGATTTAACGAGGCTCGACGTTGGCCCCAAAAGGACGTGACGAAGGAATATTGTTACTGGTCCCCAGTCCGGGGGTATTCGTCACCCGGTCGTTATTCGAAGTTACAAAATGCTGGAGTTTTGGCTGAATGACGCCCGCCCCAGGTTGTGATTACGAAATTTCGAAGAATGCAAATGGTCTTTAGGAATTCTTATTCAAGAATTCCTGTTCACAAAAACGAACGGGATTTAAGGTGGAATAATTCACAAAATTTCTAGGAATTCACAGGAGAGCGACAAAAATTCGATTCAGGGGAAATCACTGAAAATTCAATGCAATTCCAAACGTTTACTTAAATTTCAATCGAAACATGAATATTCAGCACCAACGTCCGCAGAATTTTCAATTAATTGAAAATTCAAGAAAAGAGAATTCCTGAACTCCTGAATTTTTTTTATTTCTATCAATTTTCATTTCATGTAAATTATTCGTTTGTTAAAGATTTAAATTTTTTCCACATCAAATTTCAAGAGTAATTTTCCAAAAGTAAAACTAATGTCATTAATTTTTCTTGTGTTATGTTAATGATAATATTGAAATATTTTCAATGTTGTTGTTCATTTCCCTGGTTATTATTGGAAAATCAAAATGTATGTTTTGCATTAATTAAAAGCTTGAAATTTCATGTCCAAATGACCAGGAATTTACGGGAGAGAGACGATAAATTCGATATAGGGGGAAAAATTCTTGAAATTTCAGATTTCACTGAAAATTCAATGCAATTCCAAATTTTTGTGCGACAGGCAGACGAGAGTTTCCCAATTTACTTAAATTTTTAATCAAAACTTAAAAATTAAATACCAAATTAAATTAATATATAAATTAATACAATTTGACCCTATAATTGGCCTCGGCTGTTGTGTGTTAAACAAATAAATAAAAAACATCTGAATTTTACTGATTTCTATGAATTGTAACGGAATAATTGAGCTGAAACTCACAGTTTCCACTGATTTTTCCATGAAATTTCTTGAAATTTCAACGGAATATAAAAATGTCCAAAAGAGGTTTCAAATTTAAAGAACAGTGCCGAAAATTTCAGCCTCCTGAAGTCCTCCTGAAAAATCCTCGACTCTCCACACGTAGAGAAATATTCGCAAAAAAATTATATATCTTTTCTGTAATTCTGGAGCGACATGTGGTTGTAGGAAATTTTACGTACCTGCTACCGATTTTTTCCGGTGCATTCCGTAATTTTTATCTGAATCTCCTGTGAAAAATGACGATACTGTCACTTAAATTTTCTGAGTCGATTCCGTAATCGGTGAGTGAATTGTGAGTTCCGTAATATTTACTGAACATTTCTCTCCGTCCAGCTATAGCCCAAAAGTCACAAAAAGTCAAATAAAATAATGAAAAATTGTTCTTATGTTCCAGGAGCGGAATGGAAGCGCCTCCCCGAGAACGAGAAGCGTCCATTCATCGACGAAGCCAAGAGATTACGGGCAGAGCACATGAAGGATCACCCAGAATACAAATATCGACCACGACGCAAGCCAAAGACACTGAGAAAAGAGGGCTATCCCTACAGTATTCCCTACGCAAGTGTCTCGATGGATGCACTCCGAGCCGGTGAGTTATCAATCACCCTCCCACACATCCGTATCAATCACAATACCCAGCCCATAAAACATTTACGATCCCCGATAATAATCGCCCAGATAAGGCTCACTTCTCATCAATAGAAGTTGTACCACTTTATTACAAACACAAATATTTGAGTAACTTGATTCAAAAAAATCTCTATCGCTCCGTCATATCGGCCCTTCCAAACAGTATGATTAAACCTCTCCAGAGTTTCCAATGTTTCCCTCGAAGAATTCCCGTTGGAAGGAAATGAGAGAATAGGCGTCATGGTGTCTATTGTAACCTAGGTGGCACGTGAATGCGTCTGAAGGAATACCTTTTTGAGGGGATTATAGGTATAGCTGGTAGCATGGAACGATTTTTGGCTGGAATTTAACGAGTGAGAAACCCTGCAATCAAGTGATTTTGTCAATAATTTCCAGTGAGAATGCTAAATTCTATTAATTTTATCTCTAAAAATTAAGAATCAACTCCTAAAAATAAGAGGTTCATCCCTAAATACTACAATTTATTCTCTCTGTGAATTCGTAATAATCCCCTGCAGATAATTGTCGCTTCTCATCAACAGAAGTTGTAGTACTTTATTACAAACACAAATATTTGAGTAACTTAATTCAAAAAAATCTCTATCGCTCCGTCATATCGGCCCTTCCAAACAGTATGATTAAACCTCTTCAGTGTTTCCAATGTTTCCCTCGAAGAATTCCCGTTGGAAGGAAATGAGAGAATAGGCGTCATGCTGTCTATTGTAACCTAGGTGTCATGTGAAAAATCTAAAAGAATACCTTTTTGAGAGGATGATAGGTATAGCTGATAGCATAAGACGATTTTTACCTAAAATTTAACAAGTGAAAAAACTACCATCAAGCCATTTTGTCAATAATTTCCGGTGACAATCCTAAATTTGATTACTTTTACCCCTTTAAATTACGAATTGATTTCTAAAAGTAAATAATGGATTCTCAAAAAAAAAAACAGATTCATCCCCAAAAACAAAAATCTCGTCCCACTTCACTCTTAACACAAACATTTGGCCAACTCAATTAAAAAAAATCTGCATCTCACAATTCCTTCAAAACAGTATGATTAAACCTCACCAACATTTCCAATGTTTCCCTCGGAGACGTCCCATTCGAAGGAACTATAGAGAATAGGCGTCACGCTGTCTATTGTAACCTAGGTGTCATGTGAAAGATTTGAAAGAATACCTTTTTGGGGGGATTACAGGTATAGCTGGTGGGATGGGACAAGCCGGTATGAGCTCTTACTACGGACCAGCAGCAGCCTATGGATCACTTTCGGCAGCCAGCATGGCTGCCGCTGCGGCTGCGGCTGCCCAACAGTCAGCAGCAGCGATGTCTGGCCTCGGGGCACCTGGCCAGGTGAGTTTTTCCTTTTCTATTTTTCGATTCATATGACTACCTCTCACCTCCCCCCTCCTCGCTTCTCAGATTCGTCGTTACCCCCCTTGTTGAAAGAGTGTCCCTGAATGCCCGACCCAACACCTCGACACTATTGCCCCATTCTTTTCTGTACTCGGACTTTTCGTAGAAAACGCTCTCCCTCGCTCTCTCTCGCTCCGTCTTTTCTTCGTTTTTGTGTCTTTTTTTTGGTTCCCTCCTTCTTCACCTCCTTCTCCGTCGCTTTCTGACCCCCACGTCCTCTCGGAATTTACCGAAAGCTAAGGGGCCTTCACAAAGAAAATCCTATTCAATACCAGGATCGAAGAATAACGACAACAGGGAATAACAGGGGGGAGGGGTAGGTTTTCGGGGTGAAAATTTATTTTATGGTGTATAATTCCGGTGGGTGCCAATGTCAATCCTTGACCTGAGATTTTCCTCAATGGAGAGGTGAGGGGACACCTTGAGGGGCACAGAATGGTTGTAAACGGGACGATACGTGCCTTCTTGGGGGAATATTTCGCCAGGTATAGTTTTTACGTTACGAGTGTTTGCTGTTCGGGGGGAATTGGTTTATTGCCGGCTGTTGTTTCAGCGACGGGGGGCTGGAATGCAACTGGAGGTACCGTCATTCATTAGTTGTAAATGAAGAGTTGACGGTCCATTGGGGGATTAGGGGGTACCTGTGATTTTTCCGGACAAAATGGAATTGCAGGAACGACAACAAGAATTATAGAAGACAAGAATTATACTCTTCGAAGGAAAAAAATTTTTTTAATTATTTAATCAATGAGTTGGGGGGGTACCTCGTCCTTAGTATTTGTGTTATAATATCTGTTGAAGAGGTTGGAATTTCAAGTGTTGCTGAAAATTCGATGGAATTCCAAATTTTTTGGTAGAAGAAAAATTTGGTAGAAGAATTTTATGAATTCTAGGAACTTTCATTTGATTGAAATTTCCAAAAAATATTTACCTGAGTTTTCTTGATTTTTATTAATTCTCGTAATGATTCAACTAAAATTGACTGTTTTCATTGATTTTCTCGTTAAATTGCGAATTTTCAGTGACGAATTTCTTTGAAAGTTTATTACAACAGTTACTTGACAAAAATTTGCAAGAATTGCAGTTGACAAAGTTGCTCAATGAAGGACTCACTAATTATTAACGAGACCTTCAACAATTAACAAACGCCAGTTGAATATAATTAAGGAACATCTGTTAAAACACTTGGAAAAAATTCAAAGGAATCCAAAATTTAGAGCAACAGAAACAATAATTCTCCAAATTACTCCAATCTTCAATTAATTGACTACTAGAAAAAATATCCTGAATTTTCCTGATTCCCGTCAATTTTCATCGAATTATTCAACTAAAATTTGCAACTGTCATTGACTTTTCCATAAAATTGAGAAGTTTCGTTGACAATCCTTGAAATTTCCAAGAACTGTAGTTGGTAAATTGTCAGACCAGTAAAAAAATTATCAACGCACACCAGAAGACGTAAATTGCGAATTTTCAGTGACGAATTTGCTTGAAATTTTAGTACAACAATCACTTGACAAAAATTTCCAAGAATTGCAGTTGACAAAGTTGCTCAATGAAGGACTCACTAATTATTAACGAGACCTTCAACAATTAACAAACGCCAGTTGAATATAATTAAGGAACATCTGTTAAAACACTTGGAAAAAATTCAAAGGAATCCAAAATTTAGAGCAACAGAAACAATAATTCTCAAAATTACTCCAATCTTCAATTAATTGACTATTAGAAAAAATATCCTGAATTTTCCTGATTCCCGTCAATTTTCATCGAATTATTCAACTAAAATTTGCAATTGTCATTGACTTTTCCATAAAATTGAGAAGTTTCGTTGACAATCCTTGAAATTTCCAAGAACTGTAGTTGGTAAATTGTCAGACCAGTAAAAAAATTATCAACGCACACCAGAAGACGTAAATTGCGAATTTTCAGTGACGAATTTGTTTGAAATTTTAGTACAACAGTCACTTGACAAAAATTTCCAAGAATTGCAGTTGACAAAGTTGCTCAATGAAGGACTCACTAATTATTAACGAGACCTTCAACAATTAACAAACGCCAGGTGAATGTAATTAAAGGAACATCTGTTAAAACACTTGGAAAGAATTCAAAGGAATCTAAAATTTTGAGCAACAGAAACAATAATTCTCAACATTACTCCAATCTTCAATTAATTAACTATTAGAAAAAATATCCTGAATTTTCCTGATTCCCGTCAATTTTCATCTAATTATTCAACTAAAATTTGCAATTGTCATTGACTTTTCCATAAAATTGAGAAGTTTCGTTGACAATCCTTGAAATTTCCAAGAACTGTAGTTGGTAAATTGTCAGACCAGTAAAAAAATTATCAACGCACACCAGAAGACTTAAATTGCGAATTTTCAGTGACGAATTTGCTTGAAATTTTAGTACAACAATCACTTGACAAAAATTTCCAAGAATTGCAGTTGACAAAGTTGCTCAATGAAGGACTCACTAATTATTAACGAGACCTTCAACAATTAACAAACGCCAGTTGAATATAATTAAGGAACATCTGTTAAAACACTTGGAAAAAATTCAAAGGAATCCAAAATTTAGAGCAACAGAAACAATAATTCTCCAAATTACTCCAATCTTCAATTAATTGACTACTAGAAAAAATATCCTGAATTTTCCTGATTCCCGTCAATTTTCATCGAATTATTCAACTAAAATTTGCAACTGTCATTGACTTTTCCATAAAATTGAGAAGTTTCGTTGACAATCCTTGAAATTTCCAAGAACTGTAGTTGGTAAATTGTCAGACCAGTAAAAAAATTATCAACGCACACCAGAAGACGTAAATTGCGAATTTTCAGTGACGAATTTGTTTGAAATTTTAGTACAACAGTCACTTGACAAAAATTTCCAAGAATTGCAGTTGACAAAGTTGATCAATGAAGGACTCACTAATTATTAACGAGACCTTCAACAATTAACAAATGCCAGTTGAATATAATTAAGGAACATCTGTTAAAACACTTGGAAAAAATTCAAAGGAATCCAAAATTTAGAGCAACAGAAACAATAATTCTCAAAATTACTCCAATCTTCAATTAATTGACTATTAGAAAAAATATCCTGAATTTTCCTGATTCCCGTCAATTTTCATCGAATTATTCAACTAAAATTTGCAATTGTCATTGACTTTTCCATAAAATTGAGAAGTTTCGTTGACAATCCTTGAAATTTCCAAGAACTGTAGTTGGTAAATTGTCAGACCAGTAAAAAAATTATCAACGCACACCAGAAGATGTAAATTGCGAATTTTCAGTGACGAATTTGCTTGAAATTTTAGTACAACAATCACTTGACAAAAATTTCCAAGAATTGCAGTTGACAAAGTTGCTCAATGAAGGACTCACTAATTATTAACGAGACCTTCAACAATTAACAAACGCCAGTTGAATATAATTAAGGAACATCTGTTAAAACACTTGGAAAAAATTCAAAGGAATCCAAAATTTAGAGCAACAGAAACAATAATTCTCAAAATTACTCCAATCTTCAATTAATTGACTATTAGAAAAAATATCCTGAATTTTCCTGATTCCCGTCAATTTTCATCGAATTATTCAACTAAAATTTGCAATTGTCATTGACTTTTCCATAAAATTGAGAAGTTTCGTTGACAATCCTTGAAATTTCCAAGAACTGTAGTTGGTAAATTGTCAGACCAGTAAAAAAATTATCAACGCACACCAGAAGACTATACATGCCTCCTTGGTGAATATTTCTTCAGGTATAATTTTTACATTTCGAGAGTTTGTACTTCTGGGGGAAATGGTTTATTGCGGGTTGTATTTTCAACAAGGGAGACCGAAATTTAACTGTAGGTACCGTCGTTCAATAGTCGTAAATGAAGAATTGACGGTTGAATGGGGGGGGGGGATTATATTGTACCTGTAATTTTTCGAGAAAATATGGAAATTAACAAGGGTTTTTCTCCTGTCGTCTCGATTTTTAGTATTCGAGGCCATTGTAAAATCATAAAATAAAATTTCAAGGCGCAGGATGAGATATTTTTAGGCGAAACGGTGGGAATTATGGGACACGTGTTTCGTATTCATATGGAGAACGTGTGTAAACCTGACCTGGGTGGTATACACGAAATTACATGGTTATTGTATATGTTACTATTCATCATCGGCTTTTCCAAGCAACACATAATTAACGGGACACGGGGTATACCTGTCCCGGAGACAATGCTGACGTGTCGGGGAGATATTCAACTCTGCTGGTCCAATCATCAGCAAAATGGGGCTATTGTTTGGTTTCTATTATTTTTTCTTTTTCGTTGGTTCAATAGTCATTCACGACGAGAATTTTGTTTTCAATTCGGAGGAGAAAAGGTTTAGTTTTTAGGGAGACTGCTTTAAATATTTGGCTGGAATTTCCGGTAGAATTCTTGGAAATTATTATCTCGGTATAGTTCCACTGAAATTTCTAGGAATTTTGACATTGAGAATTCAAAATTTTAGGCAGAAATGGATGAGAATTCCGCATTTGACTTCAATTATTCCTGGAAAATTAATAGAATAGTAATTTAATAGTGAATATTCATTTTTTGGGTAAAAATTCACGGAAGTTTGGGAATTCTCGTCTTTCCGCCGCGGAAAAAAAAGAAATTTCATTGAATTTTCATTGAAATCTGAAATTTCATTATTTTTTTCTCGGAATTTCGTCACTGAGAATTTTTAATTTTTATTTTCTCAATAATTACCAGTGAAATAATCCAAAACTATCGCAATTTTATCTCTGAAAATCCACAACAGATTTATAAAAATCAGAACTAAATTCCGAAAAATTACAAAGTTATCGTTAAAAACGAATTTTTTCTCTACCAATTCAACAGAAAGAAATGTTGATTTTCGAAAATTTTTCGCTCTTCTGGGAATGAGTTTAGAATACGAGATATGTAAATTTGAGTGAGGCCAAGGATCTGGGAATGGAATAAAAAAAAATGTTTTTTGGCCCCGAAGTGATAATCAATTGGACGCATATACAGAACGAGGTATCGCAAGTGGAAGAACTAGACTGTGGTGTAAATCATACGCCGGGACAAAGCCGCTTAACGACCCGACAAAGGACCAAGCGCGCGGCATCTCAACGAATTATATATAGAATTGAGAATATCTTTCGCACCTTTTTTCTCCTCTTTTGACTCCCTTTCTTTTTTCACGTCCTTTTTCATTTTTATGTATTATTTCTTGCTCCCTCTCTCTCCACTTTTTCGTTGTTTTGTACTGTTTTTTTTGTTGTTTTCGTGTACACGCATGACTTCTTTTTCAAAAGAAACCGTAACGAAATTTATAGCGATTGCTACTTTTGTCCTCGTGATAAAAGGGATTCGTTTATACTAAATGCTTCGCCTGTTCCCTCTTTGAATATAACTCAGGAAATTTTTTTTTTGTGTGTCCACTCGGTGAATTTAGGGACATCTTATATTAGAATAATATAAGAATGATTGTAATAAAATACAGCAATTTTTGGGTGTCACGGGATTACGGCGACTACTTGTTGGAACTATCAATTTTTCAAATATATGTGTTACAGCACTGGGTGAAAAATGAATTTTTTGGATCAAAAAAATATTGCCACGAGATTTCTCGGGATTTTTGTTATGAAGGCTTAGGGAAACGAGGCGAATTGGAGGATGGGGGAGACGTGAATAAATAATTTATGAAATTACTGGGGCAGTTTGATACAATCAATGGGCATTACTACATTTAACGATTTGCTTCAATCTCCTGTCCTCCAAGAATTTTCTGAATTTTGGAAATTGACTGTTCTGATCAGTGAATATCGAATCGTGATTCGTTAATTGTTAAGTAGGGCCTTCAACTATTGACAGGCGACAGTTGAATAGAACTGAGGAGCTGTTGAAATACTTAAAAAAATGAAATTTCTAATTTCAATGGAACTTCAAATTTTTTAACAGATGGAAGACAAGAATTCTCCAACTTACTTGAATTGTTCTTGTTTCCATGAGTTTTCGTGGAATAATTGAAATGTGATTTTCAATTTCCATAGATTGTTTCATAAAATTCTGAATTTTAAATGACAAAATTCACTGAAATTTCGGTACAACTGTCATTTGACAAAAATTTTCAAGAAGGGTACATGTTAAATCAGCGAACCATTAAAAAAAATCATGAAGGCTCCTTAAAAGACCCAGATTAAATCATAAAAGAAGAATTATAACGCGAAGGGTCAAGTTCAGATGGTTTCCACGAGTTTTCGTGGAATAATTGAAGTAAGATTTGCAATTTCTATTGATTTATTCATAAAATTGTAAATTTTAAATGACGAAATTCACAAAAATTTCCATAGAACCGTCACTTAACAAAAATTTCTAAGAAGTGTCAAATCATCAAACCATTGAAATAAATTCATGAACGCCCCCCAAAAGACTCAGATTAAATCATAAAAGAAGAATTATGACGCGAAGAGTCAAGTTGACGCTAACCCCGATGATGAATTTAATGTTACAGGTGGTAAGCTCAATGGACGCAATGAAATATTCAATGGTAGAGGCTGAGAAGTACCGTGCAGCTGCCTACATGCCCCCAAGCACCCTAGCAATGAGCATGTACCCAGACCCAAAGAGTCTCGACTCGAGTCCCAAGTACTGGGATCGTGGCTACCTAGAAGCTAAAACTTACTTCGAACAATCAAAATTGTACATGGATCAGAAGCCAATGGGCGACTACAATCACACGAGCTACGAGTCCAACAAAATGTACGAGGATTCGAGTCCTGGTGGTGGGCCAGCCAGAACACCGCCGACGGCGGATTCACCTGATGTTCTCAAGCATCACAATACCACTGAGAGGACAACTGAACAACACAATTCGTCAAGTGCAAGCACAACGTCAACACCAACGTCTTCAGCCGCCAGTCCTGGCGCTAGTTTATCGGCTTATTATCCGGGTAGTGTACAGGCAACTGGATTGTTAGCTTCACAATATGCTGGTTATCAATCAACAACAACGCCTGGTAATGAAGCAACGTTTAGGCGACCACTCACCGTCATCTTCTGACCCGATAGGCCCTAGCTACAATCAATCGTAAGCAAATATCAATCGCCAATCTATCCACCTTGAGATAATTCATAGGAGCAATGTACAAAATGATAATACACGCACTGAAAAATTTCGTAGAATAATTTTATTCAACTTCTAGGGAAAATTCTACTGGCTTTTGGTCAATTCTGTTGAAGAATTCCAGTTTCACACACTGATAGAATGATTCATTTATTCCAAACGAGATTCGTTAACTATTAACGAATGGTAGAGTTGAATATGACCAAATGAATATTCGTTAATAGTTAACGAATGGTTCACTTGAATGGCGAAAGTCAAGTCAAACAAGGCTCCTCAAATATACATTCGTTAACTATTAACGAATGAACATTTGGTGGGACCGAATAGACCCTAACCTCCAACCAAAATCCATTCGTTAACAATAACTAATCCGTTCTATCAGTGCAGCCCCTTTTTAATAAAAAGAATTCAGTTCAGCATTTGTACTAAAAAAAAACAAAAACTGCGGAATTTTTTAATAGAATCGGTCACAAACTAATGGAAAGTTCAATAGAAATAAAATAGAATTTCCTACTAAGTTTTTTTGTGCGTGTATTCATGAGGAGAAAAATTTGTATTAGTAGAAAATGCCAATTTTTTTGTTTTGTTTTTCATTTTCTAATAAAAATTTTTCTCCGTCCATCAACGTATTTTAGTCATTTCAGGGGGAAAATAATTTCTCAAATTGGAATCGAAAAATCCCATCGTTTCCTTCATATTCTCAATTTAAGAACATTATTTCGCCTGTGATTGAAGTATTGAGATTGAATTCATTAGATTGATCATATGTAATTGTCTCAGATACGAAATTCTTCCTGCCAATTCGGAAAATTATATAAATGTACATAAATGAAATCCTAGATTTACGAATAGGTGATATAGCACTTGTAGATTATGAAAACGCGGTGTGACCATCGACGTAATACATCAAAATTGTTCCTTCTATTTGTTCTTTGTAATTTTATTAAAATTCGTGATCTGCTGGATCTCACGTTTGGAATGGTGATTTATTGAAATTCTCGCGTATCATCGTTGTTCAAGAATTCCCGCGCGCCGGGGAGTATAAATACTATATATACTGAATAGTTGTAATCGTGACAAATACTTGCTCATAGTCGTTGCAATGCAAAACGTACATAGGAGTTATTGTAAATATAAAATGTAGATTATTCTCATTATTTTCCTCGATATCTCTCTATCTGTTGTATAAATTCGGGTAAGTCTCAACTTTTTCATGAAGTTCAACGGTTTATTTTTAATATGGTCACCAACAACATGGCAGGATCGTGAGTACCTCTCTAATAACAACGATTATGCATATGCTGGAGCGACATTTAAAAAAATCACGCGAGCCCTTTTGAAAGTACTCGAAATTCATGTGTAAACATCTCATCGTCGCTTGCGCGTCGGACCTGTTCCTTATATTTATTCCTCATTCCTTATATCATTCCCCGTCAGCGTCAGTAATCCGATTAGCGACATCTTACGGACGCCTCAACAATTGTGTTCCGCACTTCGCCCTCTCAGTAACAGAATTTAGTCTATGATCCGCCGAATGACGCCCGATAAGATGTTTACACATAAAAAAGAATCAAAAATATTTATTCATGTTGTTCGTGTTGTTGTTACCGCCGTCGCTGCGCTGCTCTGTCGCTACACTGTGCTGCTAATAAATTATTGTTATCACAAAGAAATCGTTGAACAAGTCAACTAAATAAAATTGTGGGAGGGGGGGCACATTTTGTAATTGTCGATCAACGCGAATCATGTTAATTTACCCCTGACAACATCACAATATTCACTCATCGAGTCATTATTGATTATTATTTAAATGTTCTATTCATCGCACTCGTTACAGTCGACATTTCGTTGACGCGTTTTGTTAATTTTTTATCTCACATTTAATGATTATTTACGGAAAATGTGGGGTTTGAATGAATCATTGGATTGGTGTAATCCACTCATCACTGTGAATTTTCTAAACAACTGAGGGATCCGCTGGGGATTCACTCGTTGTCAACGACAAATGTTACGTCATTGTATAAACAATTAGGCAACATTATATTTGTAATTGTTAACAACTATCATAGTCATTAAGGTTAAATAAAAATGATACAATACATTGTAATAGATAGAATTTATCCTAACTGGAAACATCGTATTCTACTTGGAAAAAATGAAATGAAGAATAATCGGTAATTATTGTATCCCAAGTGGAGATGATAAATAAATATTACGGTAAATAGTACTCTGGGTGATTGGTTACAATTTATTTATCTCGAGTGGGGAAGTAATACCTAAATCATCGTGACAACAATGTGATGACGGCTATCATTGAGGAGCTCAATGCCCACCATCTACACCAAACAAGGGGGAATCCCTTTTTTGTCTCTCGCTTGTTCTCTCCCTCTTTCGACATTTCTTTTTTTTCTTTTTTATTTCGATGCTACCAGTGGCCCCAACACGTGGATGGATTTTTCTCAACCCATGGGATGCTCTACTGTCGCTGTTAAAGGAAAAGTCCATTGTCATATTGTTCTCGTAATCGAGGGTCGAGCGCTCTGTTTTTGAGTCGCTCGATCGATCGTTCGTTCTAGCGGAAGACAATAGCGGTTGTATTCCACCCCATACCACGGCGAAAACTACTGGCTATGAACGTGTACCAAAATAACAGGTGGCAAATATATGATTCTTTTCAGGGAATTCAATAGGGGATTATGGATTCACTGTTTTTTTTACTAGTTTAATTTGACGATTTTGGGGAGGCGAAGGGGAAAATCTTTGTGTTGGGTACTTGTGGGGCAAAAACAGTAGTGCATTCGTTGAAGTTTGTTGTGTGATTATTTATTTTTGAATTTTTTTCGTTGTAAAGTCTCTAGTTGAGGAGAAAACGGGCAATTTTTGGTCAGTTATTCAGTGAATATAATCTTTGATTTTTTTATTCATTTGGAAATGCCAATTTAATCATGACAGTTTAATTGAAAATTTGAAAGGGATGAATTATTGTAAAAGTCATGAATATCATTATTTATTCTCCTTAAAATTCTTGGATTCATGTTGATTTGCAGCTGACACTAGTAATTCTAGAATTTTTAAAAATACATTTAAATTCGGCGGTTTTGGGGAGGAGAAGAGAAACATCTTAGTTTGGATACTTGTGGAGCAAAAAAGAAAGTGCATTGGTTGAATTTTATTGCATGATTATCTATTTTTGAATTTTTAAATTATAAAATCACTATTTGTGGAGAAAACTGTCAATTTTAGTTCAGTTATTCAGTCGAAGTAATCTTTGTTTTTTTATCAATTTGAAAATGGAGTCAATTTAACAATTCAAGTTTTAATTGAAATCTTGAAAGCCTTTTCTTAATGTAAAAGTTATGAATTTACTTATTTATTCTCCTTAAAACTCATGAATTTAAGATAATGTGCAGCTAAAACTGGAAATTTCATAAATATTTAAAAAAATGCAAAATGTGTGTTAATCTAGGGTCAAAGAGACTCCACTACAAACAGATTGGCTCAAAGAACTGAGAAGAATTCCAATAAAAAAGGGGCCGAAGTAGATCTCCTGAAAATTGACCAGAATTATCAATTGAAGAATTTTCCTCCTCGTGAAACTTCATGTCCTTCAGCTCCATAACGTCCCAAAGTTCTTTCAAACGTTTCCCCCCATTGTCAACCCCAGAGTATCTCAACTCCATTTGAACCTGAAAAGTTTCAACTTGACCCCCGTGATTTCTCTTTCATCTCATTCCTCAAAGAAGACACTAGACACAAGGACACGATTGAGAGTCGCTGGCTTCACGGATCATTCGACAAAGAGATCGGGGCCACTACCCTTGAGGCGAGCCCTTTTGTGTCCCAGACGGAAGCAGCTGCGATCACCAAAAAAAAGGCATTTGAAAAATACAAACTATCCCCGTGCTTATAACCTTTAAGACCATTGAAGAATAGATGAATGCGAGAAAACTGTTGCACCTTACCGTACAGAATAGGCCGTCATTGGGTTTATTTGTCTTGCCGCCTTTTGCGCACGCCTTCATTGTTGCGAATGAAATCTGCAGGTCATTCAATAGGCATTACGGCAATCCGATCCTCCCAGGGACTCACCAATTCTAATCTCCGAATGGAGCATTAGCCATTCGCGAAAAAAAAATGGGGAGAAATGCATCACCAATACCTTCTCGATATACTCTACCGAATTCACATAATAAATACCGATAAATTTGTACATAAGGGTTCAAAACTCATACCTGAATATTGTGTATATACCTGTCATCTTTCACGTCACATCATTAAGGAAGCGCGAACAATGTGGCCCTGACGATGCCTACGATCGGAATCGAGGTGAGAAAAAAGAAAGATGTGTGGAGATGGGGATATAGAAATGAGAGAGGTGGTCTTATGTATCCAGACGCATACATAAATGACTGGCAGGTTTTTCTTCAAAGAAACTTATACACGCTCGCGAGCGATGGGGAATAAAAGAATACACAGATGTGCGCGACCGTGGTGCTGGGAAATTGGATAAATTGAGTGAGGCCCACCTGCATTCAATAGGGATGAATTTAATGAGATTTTAGTTTTTTATTGGATACATCGGCTGATCGTCGTGCACTGTTGGACAGTTTTGTTTGGATTTTTCCGTGGTAATTCTCGAAAATTTTCACGGGAATGAAGACGTCTGACGTTTACTTACGAGAGGGAAATTATTTTTTTTATATTTCTCGTTTTGATATTCAATTCACTGAGATTTAATCGAATTGTCACTGTCATTGGATAATTTTTGCGTGTAATTATGTAGATAATGTCGAATATATTGGAATATATTCCAATCTCGAATTCTCATTGCCATAATTCTACGGCATTGAAAAAAATCCTCACTGTTGTTAACTATTCACGCGGAATGTTGTAGAAAATGATTAATTAAATAACGAGAGTCCAACGGAATTCAAAACGGTAACGAGAACAGGAAATTGAATTTTTTTTTTTAATTTTTCGTTTGCTATTCAGAAAATCCCCAAATTTTGCTAAACTTCCAGTTAATTTTCAGACGTAATTCCACTGAAGTCTTCAAAATATTATGAATTATAGTCAAAATCTCGTAGACATCGTCCAATAAACTCGAATGCATCTAAATCCTGAAATCATCGTCATAATTCCGTGAAATAAAAAAAAATCCCATTCTTGTTGAACATCCCAACGGAATGTTGTAG